GATTCGTATCTTTGTTCTTATTATTACTATTCGTGTCATTCGTAGTAGTATTAGTATTTGTCGTATTATAGATGGTTATTAATAGTTCTATGATTGTTAATCGCATTATGATTATTATTTGTTTATTAAATGTGTTATGATCCGTATTGTTATTATTGCTAGTATTATTAGTAGTATCATTAGTTGTCTTATTTATTTATCTCTCTCTCTCTCTGTTTTCTCTCCCTCTCTTTCTGTTTCCCCTTCATTCACATCCCTAGCCCCTCCTTCAAAAGCCAGCTCGGACTGTGCACTTCCCCAGCTGTTCGTCTCCTTTTCTGTGGCGTCGGCCGTGTTTCACCCCAGCGCCACGGACCCACGTCAGACGCCCAAGAGAGATCGAGCGAGGGAGAGGAGAAGCGAGGGAGGGAAGGAACGAAGGCAGAGAAGACAGGTCAGGGCATGGCCCAGAAAGCTGTGGGAATGATCGGCGGACAAGCCACAAACCCCGCACGAACAGGAGCGAAGGTATAACGAAATAGCGAAGCAATTCGCTGGACACGCTCGGCAACAAACTACACAGACAGGAATCACATGTTAGTGTTTGGCAGTGGTCGGGGAGACAAGCCAGAGTGGCCCTCCCGAGGAGACGATGTACGGCCAGACCAACTGCTTCGTCCTGCCGGACTTGGCCTTGGCCGTCTGCATTCCTCCCCTTCTCCTCGCCCCCATACCCTTCCCCGCCTCCCGGCCCCCTCCCCTTCTCCCTCCCGTCCTTCCGTTCTTCCTTCCGTCCATCTCCGCCCCTCTCCGTGTCTCGCTTCCGTTATTCAGTTTCATCGCATCCCTTCCTCCCCTCCTGCTCCCGTGCCTCACCCCTCCCCTTCACCGTCTTCTTCCTTTCCTGTCCTCGCCCCCTTCCCTCCACTATCCCCCTTTTCTCCTTGTCCCCATCCTCCCTTCCTCCAACAAGAGAGGGGGCCGGAGAGGCGAAGTCGGCGGCAGCAACAGGCAATGAGCTAACCGCACATTCCTCCATGGAGTCCTGCAATTCAAGTGCCCACAGCTCTTATACCCAACCCTCTTGGGTTGGGGATCTGTTTTGAATGCAGAACGGTTGCCTTATTCTCATCCCGCCTCCTCCCGCCCACGGCTCCAGGCAGCGAGTGACAGGGGCGCCCTTCAAGTCCCGTCTGGGTTCACCTTCGTGGCGACGAGGAGGGGACGCGCATATTCCAGTTTCGGGTGCTGGATTTCTGTCCAGAGCCCGCGTCGGCCCACATTGGTAGAGGCAGAGAGCGACACACAAAGTGGTCTACGGCATCTTCATTGTTGCCCGTGTTCCCAGCAGCAGATACATCATTACGAAAGGGCAGCCAGCTGAGACTGAGCCAGCCTGGCATCGGCGTGCTCAGGTAGCTCAGGCTACGGCTAGAGTCAGACCAAGGCGGTCCACAGCGGATGTCTTCCAGGCACGACGTCGGTTCGCAGCTTACCATTCTGCCAATATGTCACAGCATTTGTTATGCACTTCGCGTGCGGCGGCCAACTCCCGAGAACGTACGACTTGCCGTGTGTGCGATGCTCCGAGACTGGAAATGAGATTAGGTAATGCTGCTGTTGCTCCGGACAGCACTAGTGCACCAGTAAGAACGCGAAGAAGACCTTCGACCGAGATATCGATCGCCGTCTGTCACGTTCGCGGCCGAGGCGGACCCGGAGCACGAAGGCATAATGAACAGTCATTTGCCGAGATTGAGCAATGTTCCTGCGCGCCCGTCAGACGCAGATTGTCACCCACAATTCCCAGGAGAGCTCGGCAGCAAAGCCACAGCAGCATTGAGAAAATATGTCGTTGCAGATTGTCGCAGTCAGCTATATTTGCTGGAGAGAGAAAGCAGGCGATATGGCTCAAGGAAACAGATCATGGCTTCCGCAATTTACCTTCAGCTATCCATAGTTGAAGGCCCAAGCATCAACAGCTCAATAGTCAAAAACATGCATTGAGCAAGGCCGCCAACAGGCAGGAAACGATTCAGACAAAGATCGAGGACACAAGCGATCTTCTCAGTCGGCTAAAGGAGCAGGCCAACCTGGCCAACTAGCGGGTGGAGCGTCATCAGGTCGCGCTCGACGAGATACGTTCCACGGCGCTACCAGAGGATATACTGGTCAACGACAACCAGGAGGTTCGAGCGTCCGAGACCGCACCGATGAAACCGTCCCCGATTGGTTTGCCCAAGATAGCAGGCAGTCAACCTCAGCCTCCACAGCAGCAAGTACAGCTTCTGAAGCATCAAATACAGCAGCAGGCGCTTCCAAAGAGGGCCGCCATGCAGAGGCAGTTGGCCATGTTAACCGATGATGTTCAATCTTGTACGCAGCAAGTCGTTTCACTGCAAGGACAGCGCGATTCACTTGTGACGTCACTGGCAGGTGGACCAGGACAAGTGTTGCAACTACCGATCCGACAGGCTTGACAGAGGCGCAGGCTGTGGCTGCTGCATCAGCATATGGCCAAACTCACAGCAGCAACTTGGCCAGGCGCAGCGGCCACCCCAGCAAGAGCCCCACGCCCGACCCCAGCGAGCTGCCCCCAGGATGCCACCAGCTCATAGGTCATCGGCGAACCAGGATCGTTGTTCCGGCAGTCGAGATCGCGAGCGCGTTGGAAACTTCCACGGGAGGACGGGGGCGGCCCACCCTGCAATACGCTGAACTCGAATGCAACGACGGACTTGGCGAAGATATGCGTCGGGATCAGCGGAATCGGGAGGGGCAGGCGGCACCTCCATTCCGATCGGCCAGCCCGACGATCGGAATCATCCTAGTATCCCAGGCGCTGTCAGAATTAACTTCGCGCCAGTGCCGCGCTCTGCCGACGGTCGGTTCACTCGGCGGGGTTCCCACTTGCATGCCGACTGGGAGCCATATCGAATGTGCATTGTGGGCTGTTCTCTCGATGCACTGCAGGAGTTCTCGTCTTGGGAAGCTTTCTTGGGGGAGGTTGAGGGAATGGGATTCTACGCGGACGGTAGTTGAGCGACGTCGGAGGCTTTGCTTGTTTGGGCTTTGTGCGTCTAAGCTGTCACGCACGATGATGCCTCGAATTTTTGGACAGGGCCGGCAGGCTCTGTCTCCCGGAAAGGGGGCGGGCCCAGGGATCTCCTCTATTAGGTTTTACCCCAGGAGGCGACTTGAAGAGGGCTGGCGAAATTATTGGCGATGAGTAACAAGGTGAGGTTTTTTTCGTCGTTGAAAAAATGCGCTTCGCGCGTGCCCGTTCGAGGACAATGCGCCCAGCAGCTCGGATCCTCGATGAATGGCCGGGTCCGCATGTGCGTTATCCGGCGTAGAAAACGCAGCGCGTAGCGTTTTGACCAGAATTCGCGATAAACCACGAGTTATGGAGACCGTCAGATTTTACGAAAAAAGCATGGAACAGTTGATTTTTGTCGCGCGCCCGCTCGAGGACGGCGCGCCCCGCGCGCAGGATGATCAACTTGGAGCGCCGGTCATGTCTTACTGCTGTTTCAAACTGTGGAATCTTATTGTTTTTGTTCCTCCCTCGCCCGTTGGCGCGCGCGCCCGCTGCTCCGTTGCCTCGCGCGCTCGAGCTCCTCGCGACAGGCTGGGTTGACCCCGCCAGGGTCGCAGCTGCCAGTGATATGAATGACCTCTATCAGGCTGCATTGGACCACGACCGCGCTGGCCACTTCGCGCCAGCCGCGCACGAGCCTCGGTTGTTCTGCGGGCCCGACTTGCCCCGCCGCGCACTGTGGTTGCACCTGCCCTTCGACGGAGGTGGGCAGCCAGCTCTTCTCGGGCGCTGCGGGTGCGTTCATCTCCGCGGTCTGCGGGGCCTGCTGCGGCCTCGTCGTCGGGTGCGGCGCGGGCCGGGCGGGCTGCCCAGAACGGCCGACTCCGGCGAGTGGGTCAGGGCGGCCGCCATGCGCGCCGTCTCGGGGGGCGGCAGCGCGCGGGCCCGTTGCGCTGGCGCAGCTGAAGGGCGCCATCGCTTGACGTTGCGTTCCGCCAGGGGCCGGCGCGCTACCCTGACGGCGACAATGGGCTGGCGCGTTTGGGCGCATCCTCTTGCAAAGTATTTCTGGTGGCGCTCGTTTGCGTCGCACCCCCGACTTCGGGGCGCAGGTCTGAGATCTCGGCGCGCAGCAGCCCCGCGAGTTCGGGCGACGCAGCCCCTTCCCAGCAGAGATGGCGGCTCGGTCTCACGCCTTCGGGGTGGGGCGCGCTAGGGGCCGATGGCTCGGGCGGCCTGCTGCGCGGGGCGCGCGCGCAGGCTGCGATCTGGGGCCGCGGCAAGTTCGGGGGCGCCGGGCTCCAGGCGGCCGGCGCACGCTGCCCACGCTGCTCGGTTCGGGCAGGACATCTCCAGCGAGGTCCTCGACGACGGCGGCCCGCTCGAGAGCGCGGGCGCGTTCGGGTCCGCGGGCTGGATCGGGGTGGCCAGGTTCGACACGGGGGATCGGCGCCCCCCAGATCGAGGCGCGGAGGAAAAGCAGCGAGGGCGCGGGGGGTGACTCGTTCGCCCCTGGGCTTGACAGCAAGAAGGGGAGCTCAACCTGCCGCTGGATGGCGCGGCGCGGCTGCGCGCGGAGGAGAAGTTCGATGATTGGCCCCACTCGGCTCGTCGAGCGAGCATGCGGAGTCGATCCTGGACGTTCCGGGCACGACGGCGGTCGGTCTTCGAGGCGGAGCGGGGGCGGGGGGTTGCGACGGCGAGGGCGCAGTTGCCTCGCGCGAGCATCGCTACAACGCGGACGTCGGTCCGCTGTCGTGCCAGGTGGGCCAGCTCTCCCCCCCGCGCCTCGCCTGCCTCCAGCGGCCCAGGCGCTGCCGGACCCAGATCGAGATGGCCGCTGGAAGGATCGCCAGGCGCCCAGGTGACGGAGGCTTCGGTCTGGTCGCGGGGTGGCCCGCGACCGAAGGCGGTGCGGCGGCTGGCGGGGGCCCCCGCGAGCGGGCGTGCGAGGGCCGGGGCGAGCGGGCACAGACCCTCAAGCAGGCCCGCTTGGCCCGGAAGGAGCGGCACCAGGAGCGCGGGAACGCGGCGAGGGGCAGGGGCGCCGAGGGCGGCGAGAAGACCGGGAATCTGCCACATGCCCCGAGGTGGAGCGGACGAAGCGACCAGTCAGAAGAGAAGAGCTGACCCCTCGGGTCGGCTCGACCCTGGCTGGGGCGACCGAGCAGCATGGTCGCCCCCGCCAACAGTTTTGACCGTGGAGGTACTACCGTCGGGCGCCGCCTTCGCGACCCGCGTCGGCATGGCGAGATCCCTCCTTGCCGACTCCTTGCGTTCCAGTGGCCGTCTCTCCCGGCGCTACTCTGCGCGCGCGACAGCGTCTGAGCTGCCCCATCGGTATCGGCGAGAGTGTGAAGCGGTTAGGTCACTCAACCAGCTCGCCGCCGGAACTAGTCTTTTCTCTAGCGTCTCAAGTGCGAGGAGATGTGGAAGCGCGCCGCCTACCCCACTGCAATGCGATGTGCTCGGCCGCGTCGCTCGGCGCGCGGCGCGCATGGGCGGCCGCGTCGAGACCTGGACGAGGATCAAGCCCTCGCGGAGCTCGCGGCGCCCAGGGAACTATGCTCGCAGGGGCCGAAGAATCTCGCCGAGTACGACCCCGAGAAGTTCAAGACCTGCCGCTCGGGGCATCTTCGCTAAAAGCGCAA